TGACCCAAAGCCTGCTGAAGACAGTGAATGGGCTTTGGATCAGGTGCTCAGTTTGTAAGAGATCAATATTTTCAATTTCATTGTCTATTGTTGCCTGCATTTAGTTTATTACTTGTCCCTTATTAACATTAGGCTAAACTAAACTACCATAGTAGAAACTAGAAAATTCGGAGTATTCTGAATGCTCATTATCCATTTATAGCTTGAGGAATCCGATTCACAGAGCAGAGTGAGTACTTGTCTGTTACATTCTAAACTGGCCACTTTTCTGTAAGTTGCATATATTAAAATATCTTTATTAGCACCTGATTATGAGTGGGAAAAGCTAATTGCAAGCAGGCCCCATATACACTGTGCAGATGAGCAGATTATGTTATTTTTATTAGTCTTAAAAGCAGCACCTAGCCACTCCAATCATGATTGGAGTCCCATTGTGTTAGGCACTGTACATATATATAGTAAGAGATGGTTTCTGCCCTGAAGAGTGCATGATCTAAATAGATAAAGCAGACAAAAAGTGGTAGAAAGCATTATTATCCCCATTTCACAGAAAACTAAGGCAAAGACCAATCTTCTGCCCTGATCCACCCTCTTTGTGCTACTCTAAACCTGCTTTTCAAAACCATCCCTCCTCCAATGCCTTTTCCACATCTTTCTTGATGCCGTGATCATGTCAGACACACAAATGTAACCACACCTTTCTTTTCTGCTTTCATCCATTTATTCTACGAAGAACTTTTTTCAGGTAACGCAGGGCATTTGCAACTGTTCCTATTGTTATATCGAACAGCCCCATTAAAAACAAAACACAAGCAAGCAAGCAAACAGTTCTGTTGCTTTCTTGATAACTGACACAATTGTTGTCTCTCTGAAGTCGAGGTCCATCCATTAGATAACTACTAATTATTACACACAACATATAGGAAGAGGAAACAGAGCTACCCAGAAGAGTACAGATTTCATCTGCACAATATTGACTCCCATCAGATTATGAAAAGTACATTTGACTTCTTCCCTGGAAAGCTTCCAAAGATCAATGTTTTCTGTTTTTAATCACGATTTTTTATGTATCTCGGTCCACATCCTAGACATAATGAAAGTTTGCCTTGGAAAGATTTCTTCCCTCCCGCCACCCGCACATATAAATAAATACACACACAGAAGCCTACCATAACATAATATTTTCTTGTGCAATTATTTGGCTTCTAAGTCTGTGGTCAATCTTAGGCTCATTGATCCTTCTCTTTTGATAGGAAACAAGAGCTCAAACCCAGAGTTTTCATGCTGTTTATGGCTTTACAGTAACTTCTCATGATATAGGTAAAAAATGTAAAGCAGTTCTTAACATACTGGTTTTTTTAATTGTAAATAATATAAAAAGATACTATGCTATAAACAGCCATGTACTTCAGTTATAAGAAAGCAAGCAAGAATAGTGTATCACTGCTGTGGCTGTGATTATGATGGGAAAAAACAATGGCTATAAGTAACTATCTGAGAAGCCATTTAACCATTTAAATTCAGAACGATACAGCTAGAGTGATATAGACAGAAAATAAGCTGTCTTCAAAGAAAAAAAAATCTGTACAAATATGAATATGACAGGAGAAGAAATGCAGCACTGATAAGGACTAAAGAACACTTTAAATCATAATCAATACTAACATTCTAAGGTAATTTATTTAGCACCAACAGTTAGCACAGCACTGCATGAACAAGAGCCTGATTCTGCTCTTTCTTATACTGGAGTATCTCCATTTATGTGACTGAAGTTAAAAGCAGGGTGATCGGCGTATCAACCTCACAATCTCCATCTCATTACTGGTGGCACTTCACATATAGTAGTCATAACAACAGCTCCTTCCCAAGGAGTTTACCTTGATTTTTCCCCGCTAGGTAAGAGCTTGTGACTTTGTCTTCCTGTCTAGTCTAACCTTCTCTGTGGAGTTTTCCTATGAGAGAAGGGGAGTCAAGATTCCTGGGTATTATAACTAGCCCTACACTTGGCTAGGTGAAGGCACTTAATCTTTCTGCCTCAGGCTATTCATCAGTAAAACGGTTAAAACAAGACTTTATTTATCCTTTTTACTCACAGAAGTGTTAAGACCCTTAATTATTTTATGTTTGTGGCTGAGCGTTTGTGACATCCTTGAATGCAATGTGCTGGATACTATAAGTGTAAATTACTATTTAGTTGATATGATTATTAATGACAGATTTATTGCATTGTAAGACCAAGTGAAAATTCCTTTGAATAAACTTTTAAAATTTCTTTTCTAAAATTTATTAATTTTATTTTCATTTTGGAATCATCACTTGTAAAATAATTCACTACAAAATTACTGAAATTGCAAAAATGCTTGTAAGTTTCTGGGAGGGCAGGATTTACTGATATCCCTACAGTCGCAATTTAAGAATGTAATGGTGTCAGACTTAAGGAAGAAGGTAGCTTGTTCTTTGACAGGGCGAAAGGTTTAAAAGTGATCCATTGAGGTTTATGGAGCAGCATCAAGTTAAAAGCAAATGTAGTTTAAAGTTTTAATCTCGCCCCCACTACACACACGAGGTTTCCATTGATGTTAAGGGGAGTTTAATGCTTTGAACTGCTGAGCGAGAATAAACCCCTACAGTATTAAGAAGGAAGCTTGAAGTGACTTACAGCTGGAGAGATTCATCTGTGAACAGATGAGAATACAGGGAGACAAAACTCACTGAGAAACATGCTGGAAAAACATTTTGGAATAAGCTAAGAGGCACATGGTTAACATTTCCAGCTTGCTCCACGACGGTGGCCAAATCCAGACCAGAGTGGGTCAAGGACACCCAAGAACTCAAGATATGTGACATGTACTGTCCTCACTTCACTTTCTCAATAACCTTCCCTGAAAACATTAGGGTAAAGAGTGGTAGCCTGCACCACATTTTAATAACTCACTGTTCAGTGAATAGGATGCATCCCTCGCTAGTGAATGCGAAGGATAGTCTGATAGAGGCTCACATTTCTTAAGCACTGGAGGTCCCAAATTCAATCCCCGGTGATGAACAGTTATGACAATCATACACTTTCACTAAGGAAAACATTAACAGGTCTCAATAATTAGCCCCAAGCTTTCTCGTTCATCTTCACATGCCAAGAAGTGCAGGTCCACCTCCCAGCTAACTGGCTATAATTACCTCAACATTGAAGATATCACTGAACAAAATTGTACAAAATCCACCCAAGATGGTACTGCATTGAAAACATCCTGGTGACACTGATTCCAAGTGTCACCCACTCAGCTCGGGTAGATTGTTGCAGCAAAGTAGACTGAAAGCTTGTAGATAGAGAAACTCAGCTCTTCAAAAAAGATAAAAAGGGTGCACTACAGAGCCCAACATGACTGGTTCTGCTGGACAAGGACTTGCTGATGGTATGTCTGAGGAAGAGAATGTCTCCTGAGACTCTGCCACAGTGACAGCATAGGAATGTCATACAATCTATCTGGCTTAGAAGGTGTTTTCTTCAATCAGTTCTCCAAGCTCCCATCATTATTACTTCATCATTTGTCGGCCATCTGTAAACTATTATGAGTTGAAAGATGATGGGGAGGGTGGCATGTTAGTGCTAGCCATGACAAATAAAGGGAGGGGGCAAGATTTTTAAAAAATAGGGATCTAAAGTTAGGTTCCTAAATCCATTCTTGTACCTAAAGAAATGACTTGATTTTCAAAAGTAGGTAGTTCTTATTTAAGGGAGGAATTTTCAAAATGTGTATGAAGTGATTTAAGAGCCCAAGTCCCATTTACTTTGAATGGGACTTGTGCTCCTAAATTGCTTAGGACCTTTGAAAATCTCTTCCTAAGTGCCTAGCTACAGGCACCTATTTTTGAAACTCTCAGCTTGGGTTTTGCGAAATCCAAGATCAATATAAATGCAGGATTACCAACCCTAAGCATTCAAAAATCATGAGCCAGGACCCAAAAAATAATGAGACTGGCTTAAATCTTACCTGCCTTTTGATTTCTGAGCCTGTAGGAAGCACTTGGGTCATATTTTCAAGCTTTTCTCTGAAACTTTGAGAAACTAATTTAAAAATAAAAAGGAAAAGCTGAGGTTCTCATGTAATTACAGGATTCCAGGAACTGAGGCTTTAAGAAAACCAAAATCTACCATGAGACCTGCACTAAAATCATGACAGTTGGTAATACTATAAATGTTAACTTCCTGACCTGAGTAAAAAGGTTTTTTAATTTGGACTTTCCCGCAGAAGTGGTTGGAAGCCAAATATTTTTCTGAGGTAAACCCAAACCCTGCAGCATTGTGCTTGTGCAGAGGAAACAAAGTGAAACAGACTAGAAACAGAGTACAAATTTCAGTGAAAGTAATTTCTCTGTTTTCATTATTCAGGACCAGGTCATTCGAGAGGAGAAGGGAGGGAGTGGGATTGAGAAGAATAGCAAGACTGAGAAAACAACAATTGATTTCAGAGGGCGTGCTCATGGAACAGCATGCTACTTAACATGAGAGGGGTGCCTCAGTCAATCATCTGTGAGGCTGAATGCTCAAGTGATGGGGACTGATATACATTTTCCTAGGATGACAAGTGGATGCACTGCATCGACATTTACTTCCTTCCCATTGTCCGGATAAATGAGCTATTGCACAAACAACCAACCAATGCTTCCTGTTTGTAGGGAAATATAGTCTGTTACTATCACACAAAATAAATATTTGTATCCACCACAAATATAATGGACTGTATCGGATGACTACTAGGTCATACAAATTTTGGTTCCTCCTAGCATAACTACTCTAAATTATTTATCAACTCAAAATTGTTATCTACAGTCTCTATAGGCATGTTACCACTCAGCCATCCCAACCTCCCGCAAACGAACACAACGCATCTCCATTGGGCTTGCTTTCTTGTGCTGTAAGATCTCAAAGTCGCTGCGTGTCACTCTATTTGCACTACATGTTATCTGCTTTACATTATTTCATGAGCTGGTGTCACTCCTACCTAACATTGTCATGCCTCTGAATGTAAATCTTGTGAAAAATCCTTTCAGGTGGCTTCAGGAAGTCTTCCTTCATTTCCATGGCAACGTTCCTGGGCAAAAGACTCATCAGGAGACGCTCCTAAAAGAAAATGCAAACCCATTAGTTTTGGGGTGTAATTTTTTCCCCAATCAGCAATTCTAAATAAAATCAAACCATTCCCCCTATTTTAGCATATGTCTTAAGAATTTCTGTTTCATAAAGAACATGAACCCTTCCCCTCTTATATTTCTGCTGCCTGTAGGAGAGTCTTTTCAAATTCCTCTGTACAACAAGAGAGACCATACAGTAAAGAAAGAGCTAGTTTCAAGAGCAGATCATTGTCCATAATTATACTTATCATCATAAAACTAATAATAACAACTTACTATATCACCAGTATCATTTATCTGTGAAGGAATTCCAGGATCATTTGCTATGCTTTTGTATCTACTGGTTTGGAACTTAAAGTGTTATCTTACTGGGTCTATTAAAGCAGGTTTTTAAACAGTGCAATCTGCTGTATATTTTTCCACACAGCCTGAATCAACTGAACAGTAATAAAGGTACATTTTTATAAAATATGGGCCAGCATGGAAAAGTCTAGTTCTAGCAAGCACAATAGACAACTCCAGGTTTAATGAAAGGCCTGCCATGTCACTGAGAGTGGTTTTATCATATGTCACTCTCCTGCTTACCCAAAATCCCATAAGGTTTTGGATCCCCCTGATATTGGTTAAATTATATTCCCCAAATGGTGACCTACTCATAGGCACTTTAAAAACTTGTGAAGGCTACCCTATTTAGATAGTCCCGGAAGTCCTCAAAGAGATCACAATCTGACCATCAGCACTTCTTCACATTTAAAACTCAAATATGCCAATTTTTGCCCTAAGATGCTTTTGAATTTAAGGACCCAACTCTGCAATCAGATCTGCTAGCATCCCACATGGAAGATGGAATCCATGCTGCCATATCTGATTGCAAGGTTCAGAGCTAAAATAGTGGGAGTTGTGAAGGATTGCCCAAGAGCAAACTTTGGCCCAACATTTCTCCTTATTTCATTTGGCCAAGAAAAATAAAGGGGACAACAATTAAAGAAAATGAAATAAACAGTAAAAGAAAGACAGAATGGAGAAAGAGAAGTGGTTAATATGAGGTTTGATCAGACTAATGATCTGCATTGCTCGGTAACATTTTACCACATACTCCTTATGCACTAGCCATGAGCTTGGGACAACACTAAATTCCAATTCAATTGCTAAAGTACAAGACAAGTCTTCCAACTTTGAGTTCTGACCTATAGTGTTGCTTCCAAAGGCTAATGCTTCAGATATTTACATCATGGAGGAGTGAGTTAAATTTTGCAAGAAAAAGATGACTGACCCCTGATTCTCATTTTACAGTAAAGCCCCTTAACATCCCTGTAGCAGCGTAAATGGACGTTAGCATAAATGAGAATTAAGTCCCATTAATTTTAATTAGGTCTCTTAATATCCAGGTATAAACTATAGTAAATAAAGTCATAAAGAACATGCAGAAATTAAATATTTGTGAATGGCTTTATACATCAACCAATTCCCTTACAGAAAAGTCCTAGAGCATGTTAGGAAAATATACTCTTACTATAAGTTTCTGTTTAATTACCTGTGTAATTTTATATTCCTGCTATTGATGGGACTGGACAACAGAGGATAGATCACTCGACAAATTGTCCTGTTCTGTTCACTCCCTCTGAAGCATCTGGCACCAGCCACTGCTGGAAAATGGGATACTGAGCTAGATTGGTCTGGCCCAGTATGGCCATTCTTATGTTCTTAGAATTTTACAATGTGGTTCAAAAAAACCCAGTGGTCCAGACTATGACAGATCCTTACAAAGGTGAATGTGGGGGTGGAAGGGATATCTTGTGTAGTCCCTATCCTCACTAAGGAACATAGGGACAGCTCCCACAGTACACATCAGAAATGTACAGAGCTCCATAAAGTGCAGAGAGGGGAATGCAACAGCTGCTTTGTAGGCTAGATGGAATGCAGGCTGCACCACCTTACAGATGATCACCTGTGTTAACAATAAAGGTACACATCTGAGCTGGAATTCAATTGGCTATAACAAGAAAGTATGTTTTAAAATATTTTTTTCATGGTAAATTTTATTTTCACAAAAATTAGAGGCATTGCCAAAACATGTCATTAGCAATCACACAACAGCCACAAAACCTTTACACAAACAAGGTTAGTTGCTTAGAACTGATTGAATGAATAAAGTCCAATTACAGTACATCCTTGGAAAGAGGACAGACATTGGTGAGCTTCCAAGGAGGGAGGTAGCAAGAAGGGTTGGGTAGCAGAAAATTACAAGGGAGGCTGGCAACTATAAGAAATTATAATTTTCTAGAGAATAACACATCCAAAAAAAAAACAAAACAAAAAACAAACAAACATACCCAGAGATGCCATCAAAAAGTTTGTCTTAAAAAACACTAGAAAAGCCCATTTCCTTTTGGCCAAAATTTTAGATCCTTCAAGCAACATGGTATTGAATTCCAGATTAACTGAGTAAGGACTGGTTAAGAAACCCAGGATTTGGACCTGTATGAATGAAATAACAGTCCAAGCTATGCAGAAACATGATCAGGTTTAGGAAACAGCATTGTCTGGATCTCCATTAAGTGAGCCCCACTGCGTTGCATCTTCATTTGCCCAGAGAGGGCGACAAAAAAGATCCACACAAGAGAAAAGAAAATGAGATCAGCATGGCTGCATAGAAAACTGAATGGGAACAAGAGACAGAATAGCAAGCAACATTTGTGTTGACATTCCTGCTCGAGCAGCTGCTGCCATTGAGGATGACAGAAAAAAGTGAGACAGGTAGAAGAACAGGGAGCACCAACCTATTTGTAACAACTTTGACAAGGAAAAACCACACACATTGCAGGCCTCCTTTTTAGTGACAAGCAGCCTTGTCTCCCATAAATCATCAGGATCTCTAGCAGATTATCATATTGGATCCAAACAAAAGAGACTCAGTCAGTACACAGAAAAATATAAAGACATATCTGGCTCTCTTGCTGACCTTTGGAACTCTTTAAACATACCCCAACACTACAGTGTAGCTGGACACTGCAAAGAGGATGAAATGCTGGTCTCATTGAAGACAATGGCAAAACTCCACTGACTTCAATGGGACCATGATTTCAGCCAGAGTATTTGTATTCTGTATTCAATCTATTGACAACATGTCAATCTTCCACAAACATTAATGGGATTTAAAGTGTGTTCATACCCTGCAAAAATGACTCTCTCAGGATAACATTAAAGGGTTCTATGTTTACGGTCTATCCAAAAAGAGGACCCAATCTGGCACTTCTGGCACAAAATCTCACTTAGGCCAAGGAATGGCAGAATAGGCTACAAATATCCTCCATTAACAACGTTGCATTAGGTTTGTATTTTAATTGCCATCTTACAAACTCAACCTGGAATCTGGGAATGTCAAGCTGGGCTCTTTCTGCCTAATGTCTCAACATTAATGAAAATTTCTGTTCATGGAATTTAGTTAATTCTAATGATAATGTCTGAGTCAGAATAGAACCCAGAGTTCACTGTCTTACAGCTATATTGGTTCCGCATTGCTAAGAGAAGTAGTAAAAATATTTTTCTTACTAAAGTCAGCAGATATGACTCAGAATATACATGGTAAACAAAGTAGGAAATAGCAATTTTTATGTTGCCACTATTCTGACCAATAGAACACTAACTTTAAGCACACAAAAGGAAAAGATATATAAAAGATCGCCATACAATAAGGTCTATTGCATTGCTTTTGTCTAATCTGGACATTAGCAAAAAAAAAATTCTCTCAAAATAACTGCCCCAAAACCCTCAAACTGTACCTTTTTTTTTTTTTTTTTTTTGGTTTATAGTCTTTATATTCTAGCCACACAATAAATTTCACTAATATAATGGACAAATTCAGACAGTATACACAGAATAGATGTATTTGGAATGCACAGTCTGTCTTCATCTTCTTCTCCTTGCTGCTCTGATAATATGTCATTGTAACCATAAGTATGGTATTGTTCAGACAAACAATTCCATTGCCGTAACAGATATGAGGAGAGCAAAATAGTATTTTGTTTTGCACACTGTTCAACACAGATTGAGAATACAAACTCTCACATCTTTAGTAAGTTATTGAATATGGTGACTTCCTACTCTGCTTGCACCAAAACAGATATTTCAAATGAATGAAATTGATGGCGAAACTCCCATTAACTTCAAAATGGACAGGATTTCACTCAAATGTATTTTTGGAATGATCAGGACAGGGCGGTGTTATTCCATTAGGAAAATCTTTAATATTTTAGTACATTGGAACTATAACTTTCATCTCCTGCATATTTGTATTTCCAAACTTAATTTGCCATTAACATATTTTTTTTTACTTTATTACTTAAAAACGGAAATGGTTTATATAACCCCTTACATGTTGTACAGAACAAAGAATATATCTTACCATGTTCAGCTAATACTGAATTATGGTAATTTGTATTACTTCTTATTAACCTATATTAAATTTACAAAATAAATTCATTTAAAAAACTGAACATTAACTCACCCAAAAAAAGCCATGATGTATACTTGCCACATACACAGTCAAGGAAAGATTTCAACTTTCCTTGATTCTGTGATATTAGACTTTTGGAGATTCTAGATCAGGGAATTTATAGCTATTCAACAGCCTGAAATCAGCCATCCGTATGTCAGGCCTCTTGAACCCAGTCAAACTTAACTCACTTGCATTCTTGATTGAATGACATATTTAACTCAGATGTTTTTATTTAAATATATTTTTCCAAACGTTCAATACTTTCTCAAACAAATTCCGTCTAAAGTTTCTATACTGATTTATAACACTTTAGGCAGCCCCCAAACAATAGCTTCCAACACAATATAAGATGCTATTATTTTTCTATGAAATTATTTGTATCAGTGTCCATATAGGATATGGCTGTGACACATTTTTGAATCTTTTCAGCAATCTGTAAATCACTTATGAAACCAAACTCTCATCAGAACACCAGCCTCAAAACAGCAAAT